GTCATACATGACAACTTTAATTAATTTATTATTTATTTGAAAGGCTGCTGCAGGCATTAGGGGAGTGAACCACCAGATGGGAGATCAGTCTGTCACTGTCTCAAAAAAAAAAAGTGGGGGGGGCAAGAGTTTTGGCTTGGTAGGTTAAGCTGCTGCATGTGATGGTGGCATCCCACACTGGAGTGTGATAGATTTTAGGATTTGAAGAAGGCAAGGAAGTGGCTAGTCAAAGGTGAAAAGACTTCATTTTAGGGGAGACGGACTAGGGGGTAAAGAGAGTGCGGATTGAGCCTGCCTGGACAGAGAGCAGGGGATTTGAAGTCAGGTTTCATTCCTGTTCAGCAGCAGGCAGAGTCCCTTTTTTTTTTTTTTTTTTTTTGACAGGCAAGTGGACAGTGAGAGAGAGAGAGAGAGAGAAAGATCTTCCTTTTTCTTGGTTCACCCCCCAATGGCCGCTGCAGCCAGCACGCTGCAGCCGGCGCACCGTGCTGATTTGAAGCCTGGAGCCAGGTGCTTCTCCTGGTCTCCATGCGGGTGCAGGGCCCAAGGACCTGGGCCATCCTCCACTGCACTCCCTGGCCACAGCAGAGAGCTGGACTGGAAGAGGAGTGACCGGGACTAGAATGCGGTGTGCTGGCGCAGCGGGCGGAGGATTAGCTTATTGAGCCACGGCGCCGGCCTAGAGTCCCTTCTTAATCCACTTGTTGGAGGAGGTGCAGAGCTGCACCCGATCCTCATAAGGTGGATGGAGGACATGCAGAAAGGTTCCTTGGTGAGATTTATTTGTTTAAAAGATTATTTTATTTATTTGAAAGACCGAGTTACAGAGAGAGGTAGAGACAGAGAGATAGGGTACTTGGGCCTCTGCTACCACATGGGAGACCCTGGGAGCAGTTGCCTTTGCAGCCATTTGGAGAGTGAACCAGCAGATGGAAGATCTCTCCCTCTCTTTCACGCTCTCAATTGCTCTGTCTTTCAAATAAATTAATAAATAAATCTTAAGGAAAAAGAGAGTAAAACCCAGGGAATGATCAGCAAAGGAATATGAAGTTTGAATTCTGCTGAAGAGATGAGAAGAGTGATGTACCTTATCTGAGAATTTAAATACAAGCCTTTCCCCCTGCAGTTTCTGATCCACATTTGCATTAACTGTAATCTGAGAAGCCTAATGCCAAAGATTCTTCTAAAAACTTTTACTGTCCCTAGGATCCTGGCAGAAGCTAATACAAATCCTCTCTCAAGGAAAGCACTTAAAATCCTCAACTATTTCACACAAAGCTTCACAAACATGAACTTACAATAAAAGACAATCATAGAACACATGGAAAAAGAAGCCTGACCTAAGCAGGAATCTGCATAAATGAAAAAAAAACAAAAACAAAAGACACATAAAGATTTCAGATCCTATAATTTTTGTACATATTACACAAATCAAGTATGTTTAATATATTTAAAGAAATAAAATAGATAACTAGAAGTATGAGTAGGGAATAAGAAACCAAGTAGATGTGAAAAAAAGTCTAAATACCTTTGAATGAAAAATATAATTTAAATTAAAACCCCAAATGAAGATTAAATAGTAGATCAACAAAACTGGAGAGAAAGGTTGTCACTGGCAGATAATACTTGAAAAAATTATCCAGAAATCCCAGCTAATATCAGATACATGGAAAATATAAGATAGGAAGGACAGAATGAGAAAATGTATCATATATCTAATTTGCATCCCAGAGGATGCTAATAAAGAGAATGTAGGAAAAGGAACATTCAATAAGAATTTGAATACCAAGGGGGCAGCAGATGTCAGGCTTCAGATGTCTGTGTCCCACAAGGGAGTGTCTGGGTTTGATATCCAGCTTCTCCCTCCTGACTCCAGCTCCCTGCCAGTGTAGAACTTGGGAGGCAGTGGTGATGGCTCACGTGATGAGCTGCTCTCACCCAGATGAAAAAACTGGATTGAGTCTCCAACTCCCAAGTTCCAGCTCTAGTTCAGCTATAACAGGCGTTTGGAGAGTGAACCAACAGATTGGAGCTCTAGCTCTCAAATCAACAAATAAAACTGTAAAAAAAAAAAAAAAAGTGAATAGTGAGATTTTTTCAGAATGGATACTTTTGATCAATAGAAATATAGTTGACTTTAAAGAGACTCCCAGTAAACTTACTTGTTAAGGACATACTTCCAGGAGAAGAAAATTGATCATAGAAGTAGTTTGAGATGCAAGAAATGGGAAGACAAACATGCAGACAAATCTAACTAAACACTGACTACATATTTAAAAATAAAATTTGTAAGGTAGACAGGAAAAATATTAGATTATAATATAAATTTAGCAGAGTGATGATAGGAGTTAAAACACAGTAAGGTCCTTGCAGGACTATTATTCAAGAGAAAAGATGTCTATCATCTTTATATTTTTAAAATTTAAATATGCATGAAGATATTCCACTCTAATAGAGGACAGACTTCTGAAAAAAAGGTGGAGAATTCAATACATGCATTTATCTGTAAGCCTCCTGAAAGTTCTTCAAAATTACTTTAAATGGATTTTTTTCAGAAAACACCAATCAAGGCACAAGGACAAAGATAACAGAATATCAAAATTTTGAAGCAGAGATGAGTTTACTGACTGAATCCACTCAAGAAAGTTGAATTCTAAACCAGCAGCTGTCAAAGTGAACCTTCTAAGAGCTACCAGAGATCCATCTCTATCCCTGTGCACTCTGGCTTAAGTCTGGATATTTATTTTCTGGAATGAGTAAAAAGAAGATTTTTGGACCAGGGGACATCCAGCTGGTTTAGGGTGGATTAAGTGAAAGTTCACATGCAGTCGCACGTTACTTAATGACAGAGGCACGTTCTGAGAAATGTGTCTTTAGCCAGTTTTGTTGTTTTGCAGACATCATATACTTACACAAACTAAGGTAATTGTGTAAATAGGTGATATACTCTAAAGAGACAACCATCAAATGCATTCTGTTGTCGACTACAACATGGTTATACACCTGTTCACTTGTCTGTGCTAAAGTTGATGTGCACAGTCCTCTTCCAGGCATCTTTCTAGAAAGTTGATCACTCTGTGTTTACCCTGAGTACTAGAGATTAGTGGTCTTTTTGCAAAATGATTTCTGGTTTCCCCTGAATTGGTCCAATCTGAGATCACAATAAAAACATCCCTCAGAATTTTCAGTACTTTTTTTTTTTACTGCTGTATTTTAATCTTTGATCAGAAAACCATGACTTACTAGAAATTGGAGAAAAGAAATTTGACCAAAAAAGATAAAGCAGCAATGAGAAGGAACAGAATATTCTTATAAAAGAATGTTAAAAGATTATCAAATAAGATTTAATATATTTATATACATAGTTTGTATATAATACTTCTAAACATAGTTTATGTTAATTATTCTCTAACCTGTAAATTATGAAAATAATTTAAAAATCAAAAGTCTCAACTTTAATGTACATGCAACACACACTAGTGAGAAACCTCAATTCCTTATTAAGAACAATATTACCATTTTCCAGAAGATAGAAAGTCAGCAGTGTCATGTGTAGTAGAAAATTTCTTATTTTACATGCCTTCATATTCCAGTCTGGGAAAAGCTGCAAATCCTTGAATTCTTAAGTCAACTTTTGAATGTGATTATAGGGTTCTAATCACCTCTGGATGTGTTGACAAATCTATTACTGATGAGAAATTTATGTATGGATAGAAGCTTTATTAACCAGAGTTATTTATGTCTCTATAATTACTACTTTCCTGATGGAACAGGAATTACCTTTCTGTTGGTTTACAGGATATACAGTATGAAGTGCTTGGTGATTATCTAGGACACAAAACAATAAATAATTTGTATGTTCTAGAATTAATGAGATTATCTCATTACAGTTTACAGGAGACATAATTTCCAAGCTGACAAAAACTTTTTAAGATGTCATAAGTGTTGCATAACTGCAGAAAACAGTTTGTAAAATTTACATTTGAAAAATACCTTTTAAAAAGGTGAACCCATGTATAAACTGTTATTGCATGGATATTTAAATAATTTTTATTCATATATGATCCAGGAATAAATATTCAATTCAACAAATACTTGAGACTCCACTATATGATGTGCTTCCAAGAGTGACAAAGATGAACAAGGTGACTTTTTGGCTTTCTAGAAATATTCAGAATAAGATAAATGATTTATAGATATGCAAAAAAGGAGGAGGCAACAGGTATGGATTCTAAGAAACAGGACTAGGAAAGAGATTAAGATGAAGATCCTCCTGGGTAATTTCTAAGATTTACTCTAGTTAGGTGGCTGAAAAGACCAGAGAAGGGTGAGTTTAATTCTACTGGAACAGAGTCAGTAATGGTAGCAACTTTACAACAAATGTGTGCTATTATGAACCAGTTAATAATAAGAAAAACTATAAACATGGTGAACTAGTTATTGAACAACCCCAATACTTGCTTTCTTCTACTGAATTTCATAAAGTGTAACACGATGAATAAGAGTTAAATTCCAAATATGTATAAACTCTTATATTCTGTAGAATTTTTTTCTGCACAGAAATCCCTAGCCATTATTTACATTGTCTCACATCTCTACTTGAATGTTTCGTAGATAGGCCAGGATTCTATTCAGATCAAGTTAAATTAGAATCATCAGTGTGAGGTTCAGGCATTGGTACCTATTTTTTAAAAAGTTACTCAGATAATTTTAATGTGCAGCCAGGATTGCAAGTACGTCTGAACTACAATTTTGGTCTTCCTACTTGATATTTTTTTTCTCCACACTTTCTCTTTTCTGGTTCAATAAATAATAAGAATTTTCCACTTTCTTTTTATTAGTTTCTACATACCGAGTACTTACGATGTGTCAGGCACAGGGCCAGTTTTTTGTGCATCATCTCATCTAATTGTCCTAGCAATCCCCTGAGGTGGGAGCCATTTCTGAGTCACTTAACTTGCTCAGGGACTGCCCGACCCCGGAGCCCAAGCTCTTCTTACCCACCGCGCCACTTTGGTTCTCTTCTGCGATTCACTCCAGAGACGGAACGTTGTGCAACACCGTCTCTCTGCAGTTATACATAAACGCTACCTGGGGGCAGAGCGACCGGCACCTGCAGCAACCGAGCACCAGCCGCAAAAGGACACGAGAACAAGCAGGCACCAGGAGGGCCACCGACAGGGCCTTTCAAGATCTCTAATTCCGCAGGTTCCCGTTCCACCCCCGTCCCACAATGCCTCAGGCCACCCCTACTTGGCCCCACTTTAAAAGTTCGTTAGCAGGTCCTCGTAGGTTCCCCCTGGGCTGGAATAAGCTTGGAATGTAAGGGGAGAAAACGGATGTTTCCCAATCCGCAGCGGCAGTCACGACTGGAGGTGGAGAAAATCCTCGCGCCTTCCACGCCAGCCCACCTGCCGGGCCGCCTGAGGAGAATCCCACCTCCTGCTTCGCTTTTGCCTGCAGCCCCGGCCACCGCAGGTGCAACCGGAGCCTGGAGACCCCCACCTCTCTACCGCCGCAGGGGTCGGCGGGGTGGGTGCGGGCGAGGAGTGGGGGGGGGGGATCGCACCCAATCCCCTCAGGGTCTGCAACGAGGCGGCGCGCATTGTCCTGCTCTGTGCCTGCAGGGAGGGCGTGACTGCGGGTTCAGTTGTCTGGACACGGCCCCCGGGCACGAAACCCTGATTCTATCGCAGGGATGGGGGCGCAGACCCCGGGTCTGGCTTCAGGGAGTGAGAGGCGGCTACCCGCACACTGTGAGGCGCAGTCCTGCCGGGGCAAGGCTTCCCGGTGGTAAAGGTTCTAGGAGCTGCGGCGCGCCTAGCCCGGTTACCATGGCGACCTGCGCAGCCCGCAGAGCGCCGGCTCGCCGCGCTGCGCTGCGCGGCCCGGACCGCTGCCGGAAGTGACGCGCGTTCACCTGCCGAGCGGGGAAGGCGGAGGGGCGGGGGTGCCGAGGTGCCGCGGCTGCCGGGAGCCAGTCGGGAGCGCGCGAGGCGCTGGGAGACCGAGACCCAGAGCGAGAGCCGCCTACCTGCAGCCGCCGCCCACGTTCGGGCAGCCACCATGGCGCTTCTGCTGCGCTTCGTACTCCTGTGCGGCGTCGCGGGTGAGTGAGAGCCATTGGGTCCCGGCTACCCGCTCAGCCCGGGGGCGTTCGCTGCCCGCGGCCACCCGGGAACAATGGGCGTTGGGGGGGAGGGAGCGGGCGCGATTTTGGGGGCGCCGCGGCAGTGGTTTATTAGGGGCGAGCGCAATTGCACCGGGATGATCTTCCCGGGCGAGCCGGGAGGGTGCAAGCGGTTCTGGAGGGAGCTGCACGGGGGGCGTGGGAGAGCCGAGAACCGAGCCCCCGGCTGACGGTCGAGGGGCGCGTCTCTCTCGTTCCTCGCGGAGCATTTTCCCCCGGGTGCGGCTTTGCTGGCTCTGCGCTTGCCCTCCCCGGGGTTCGCCTCCGTGCGGTGTCTGTCCGGCGTTACTGGCTTTGAAAAGCTCTGGGTAGCTCGATTTCAGGTGTTTGAATTCCAAACGCCATTATTCCGCGGATGCGAGGTTGTGCCGGGCCTCGCTCGCCCGCGCTCCCTCTAGGAAAAGCCGCGTGGGCCGGGCTGCAGGCTTCGATGGGCGACGGTGGGATCCACCGTGGGGAAATTCGAAGTAGGTTCTAGCAGGAATGCGGTATCGATTTTTTGCGGTGCCAGGGCGAAGTGCAACGGAGGACTGAGGAACCTCGCTGAGTTTGTAATGAGTTGGTTCATTCCGAAGATAAGACGGGGGTGACTTGTGTAAGATGATTCGCAAAGCGCTCGCCAAGTACATTTTTCAGCAGTTCCTTTGGGGGGAAGGGGAGGGAAACCAAGGCTTTTAAAAAGATGCGTGGACCAGAAGACGTAATCATTTTGCCACTTAAAAAAAAACGACCTTTTTTCTACGATAGCGTTTTAACCCACTGATCTTGTTTGTTAAGCTTGCGCCATTGTACAACGAAATTATTCATTTGAAAAGATCTATAGGTGGTACCCTAGGAGGCACACTTTGCGTAGCCTCCGGAAGAGTAATTTTTTTGTTGTGTTGTTCAGCTCTCTGAAGCAGGATCGGGTGGCCTCTTCGGTAGGGATGGCTCTCTGCTTCCTGTTGAAATGTTAATTCTATTGTTGGATGCCACAGCTGTGAGCATTACTCATGGGATCAACACTCTATTAACAAGTCTAATCTTTCTATTCCAGCCCATAGCACTGCCTCCACCTTCTTGATGTATTTCATTTAGGCCAGGCTGAAATTTCCAAGGTAAAAGAGGAAGGGTCACAGAACCAGTTTCCGAGGTGCATTCCCACCTTTGTTTTGTTGGGGGTTAAACTCACGTTGAAGTTGACCTCAATTGAAGTAGAAAAATGGAAGAACATAAGTCACAAAGAAGAATTTTTTTCTGGGAATATTTGAGTAATTGGATTTACTTTTCTTCTGGAATGCCTGACATTGATAGGCACAACCTCAGCCAAGGATATTTTAATAGACTTAAGAGTCATTCTGCTTACAAGATATACACAAAAGACAGTGGGCATCTCTCTTTCAATGACTTAGGAATTAAGCTCTACAAGACACCTATTTTTTTTTTTTTTTCAGTTTTTTAGCTTGAGAAAAGACTCAACCTGTGTAGCTGATGTTTGGCTCAGAGTATTTCTTCAGATATTTCTGACCATTTAAGAATTGCATCGCTATGAACTCAAGAACATGATTGGTCCCCCTACATTGGCAAAACAAGGCAGACCCATACCTAGTAAAAATTGAAGTGCTGTCAGCGATAGCTGTTCCTATAGATCTGTCTCTGTGTAGGCTTAAAGGAGTTTTTTGGTGTACTCTCACTGTTGGGACTCCAAATTGCCAAGATTGGTGCCTGCATTGTGTTACAGCGGGTTAAGCTGCCAATTTCGATGCTGACATCCCGTATCAGAGTGCAGGTTCCAGTCCTGCCTGCCCTCTTTCTGATCCAGCTTCCTGCTAATGTACCTGGGAGGACTGTGGATAATAGCCCAAGTACTTGGGTTCCTGTCGCCCTCATGGGAGACCAGGATGGAGTTCTGGTTTCTGGCTTTGGCCTGTCCCAGAGCCTGTTGCAGTCGTTTGGGAAGGGAACCAACACACGAAGATTCTCTCTCTTTCTCTGTCACTCTGCCTTTAAATTTAAAAAAAAATTTATTTGAATGGCAGAGTGACAGAAAGGCAGAGGCAAAGAGAGAGAGTTAGAGAAATCTTCCATCTGTTGGTTCACTCCCCACTTGGCTGAAATGGCTGGAGCTGGGCTGATCCGAAGCCAGGAGCCTAGAGCTTCTTCCAGGTCTCCCATGTGGTGCAGGGACCCAAGGGCTTAGGCATCCTCTGCTGCTTTTCCAGGCACATTAGCAGGGAACTGGATCGGAAATGGAGCAGCTGAGACTCAAACAGGCACCCATGTGGGATGCTGTCACTGTAGGTAGTGGCTTTACCCACAACACCACAGCACTGGCCCCATAAATAAATCTTTAAAAAAAAAATTGCCAGGGCTGCCGCTGTGGTGCAGCAGGTTAACGCCCTGGCCTGAAGCGCGGGCATCCCATTGGGCATCGGTTCGAGACCCAGCTGCTCCACTTCTGATCCTGCTCTCTGATATGGCCTGAGAAAGCAGTACAAGATGGCCCAAGTCCTTGAGACCCTGCACCCACGTAGGAGACCTGGAAGAAGCTCCTGGTTCCTGGCTTCGGCACAACTCCCCAGCTATTGCGGCCAATTGGGGCGTGAACCATCAGGTGGAAGACCTCTCTCTCTGTGCCTCTCCTCTCTCTGTGTAACTCTGACTTTCAAATAAATAAAAACTAAATCTTAAAAAAAAATTGCCAAGGTCACAAATTTGCTTTTGAACTGCACAGTTATCACTGTACTACTCTGCTTCTAAAACAGGCACTTTCCTCTTTATTTGGGGAGTGACCCAGTGGATGGAAGATCTCTCTCTGTTCCTGTGTCTTTCAAATAAAATGAAAATAAATAAAAATTAAATTAAAAAATGTATATCCTGATATAGAGGTTGGGGAGATGTTGGACAAAGGATATAACATTTTATCTAGATAAGAAGAATACATCCGGCCGGCACTGTGGCTCACTTGGCTAATCCTCCGCCTGCGGCGCCAGCACCCTGGGTTCCAGTCCCGGTTGGGGCGCCGGGTTCTAGTCCCGGCTGCTCCTCTTCCAGTCCAGCTCTCTGCTGTGGCCTGGGAGGGCAGCGGAGGATGGCCCAAGTGCTTGGGTCCCTGCACCCGCATGGGAGACCGGGAGGAAGTACCCGGCTCCTGGTTTCAAATTGGCGCAGTGCCAGCCGTGGCGGCCATTAGGGGAGTGACCCAACGGAAGGAAGACCTTTCTCTCTGTCTCTCTCTCACTGTCTATAACTTTGTCTCTCTCTCTCTTAGTGTCTAACTCTGCCTGGCAAATATATATATATATATATAAATATATCCAAGAGATATATGCAGTATAACATCGTGCTTGTAGTTAATGACAGTATATTCTTGGAAATTGCTGAAACTAGATTTTAAATGTTTTCACCTGGAAAAAAAAAGATGAGTTAATGCATTTTTTTTAAAAGATTTTATTTATTTGAGAGGTATAGTTACAGACAGTGAGAGGGAGAGACAGAGAAAAAGGTCTTTCTTCTGATGGTTCACTCCCTAAATGGCTGCAATGGCCGGAGCTGTGCTGATCCAAAGCCAGGAGCCAGGAGCTTCTTGTGGGTTTCCCAAGCAGGTGCAGAGGCCCAAGTACTTGGGCCATCTTGTACTGCTTTCCCAGGCCATAGCAGAGAACTGGATTGGAAGAGGAGCAGCTGGGACTAGAACTGGTGCCCATATGGGATGCTGGTGCCACAGGTGGAGGATTAACCTACTGTGCAATGGCTGACCCCAATGCATATGTTAATTAATTTGACTTAGCCATGATACAGTTACAATATTTCAGAATAACATGTTGTATAGGATGTGTACAATTTTTATTTGTCAATTAAAAATAAATAGGAAGAAGAATGAAGATCCTACTGTTAGAATTGTTGACTAAAATTGAGATGCTTATGGTTTTGCTTTGGATTTCTTTACATAAAAAGA